AGGTCATAGTTATGGCTGTACAATTAAATCCACACATCAAAATTTTTAAATGCAATACGACTAATCGAAGCTTAAAAAAACATTAATTCAAACCTTATGAATGATTTAGTGAAAATTAAAATAAAAAATTTCTCGGGTAGAAATTTTTTTGTAAAAAATACCAAATATTATATAACACACATAAATGTAGCCACAATAAATTCAATAAACTTTAGCTCTTATATAATAAGAGTCTTAAAGTTTACTTTAATAAATAAAATTAATCGTTTACTTTTACACTATGGGAACTAAAGGATAAACCTTTAGTAAATCAAGTACACCTTAAAACTTTATGCCAGATGAAGAATAAGCTTTGAACAAATTTTATAAACTACCGACTGTTACATCATCCAAATAAAAACAATAGAAATTAAATTAATCGTAGTTCTCTGTTATAATGAAAAAATTTAGGAATTTTATTTCATAACATTTCGCATTACATTACATCGAAGTATCCGTTGATATTTATTTTCTTGATAAGTGTTTTTTTTATGCTTACGTATTATTGCACAATACTTTTTTATTTAAAGTTTAATTATTAAAGTTTTTCTTTGCGCTAGTGATAGTTGAGAATCTTATTTTTATTATAAAACTTTATTTGCTAGTAACTAAGAGTTGTATAGTTTGGTATTCGATTCGTGTATTAAAGTTTTATCTTTGATCTACTGTAACGTCACACTTTACCATTACGTGACGTATTTTATAATTTTATATTTTAAATCATTATTAAATGTTGGATAAAAGAAGGCAACAAATTTTACAGGTTCTTGTATATTATTTTTCATTATTTTCGTTTTTCGCTATAAGAATTTATTTCTAAAATCGACGTGTACTACTTCAAACGTAACTTTCATTTAGTTTATTTGTTTAACGTAAACTAATTTAACCCAGCGGGTTTCACTAAATTAGCAAATTAAGTTTTACGACATTTTCAGATATAATTGTATTATTCGCCAAACTTTTAGTTTTATGAAAAATATATCGATTATGTTTAATAAAGAATGAAAATTATCAATTAACTTGTTTATACATCGCCATAAAAATTATTATTTAATCATTTAGAATGTTTTAAATGCTCGTTCCTATAGACATTGAACAGACATAAAAGCATTTAGTATTTCATATTACATACGAATATTATTTGAATTTCATTAAAATATCTAGAACATTTTCATACAAATTATCTAAAATAACGCTATTTATTTGTGTAACCTTTTTTTCATGGCTTCCTATGCCACATTGCATTCGAAATAAAAAAAAAACACGTATGTGTCTGCTTGAAAATACCGTCGATCGAAACATCAAAAGCAATAGTGATATTGTACGGACTCGTTAATATTTACGTTCTATTTGAAATTACATATTTTATATAGTAACTCGTGTCTACGTCTATTGAATACAATGTAAACAACATGTTTTAATGCAAAAAAAATTTATTTCTCATACAATTTCTCGATACTTTGGAATCTCAAACATCCGATAATTCCATTTATCTCACTACTGCACGAATGACAAAAACCTTAAATATTCAAATCGTCACAATACTTGAATTTATATATAATTATATGAACTAATAAAGGAATAGCACGTTAATGTCGAATCCCTATTTATTTCTAAAATATCAAGTGTCATATTAAATTATGTACGTGATTGATGTAGAAATCGATGGCATACAAAGGGTTTCCCACATGTAACGAACTTCACGCGCTTTATGTAATTTTTCAATGAAAACATTAATGCCATAAAAGAGATGGACTCACGTGCGTGTATAGTGTATACTTTAATAATATTAGAAAAGAAAAGTGAAAAATACAGTAGGAAACGTGAAATCATCACGAGCTTATGAACGTTAACTAAACGTACATCAGCCGGTAATACACCTATTTAAATGCGAGGAAATTCTCAAAAATTTTATCAGTGCTAATTGCATTTGTTATTGTGCTAAGGCAAATCGATAATAATTCATGTGTTTATTTCACTATTTACACAACTATTGATATAAACATCGTGTGTACATACATATTAAGAGGAAATATATTATTTTATTAAAGCAGCTATCGTATTCATCGTGTTCACTGTTTCCCGCGAACGATGAATAAATTAAATTAGAAATTTATCTATCCTAAAGTCACTCAAAATTGCATAAACATTGGAATTGTGGAACATTGCACGGAAATCCAAACATACTTATCAGCAATTATTAATTCAATACATGAAGTTCCTGGTAAAGCACGTTGGTTATAATTGGCCTGAAAATGAATCGGGTAAATATCGATGGCGACGTTAAAAATAAAAATAACTAATTAAAAAGCTAACGTGAGTTACATTGCGCGGACCGGAAAGTCCAAGAATTTTCACTTGCTACGAGCCGGTAGTTGTACAACCAAGGGAAAACGTCGCGCCGTAAGGATCGCGATCCTCCGTTTTATCTTGTACCACAGCCCCTATGGGCCAAGGATTCCAGCAGTACAGGGAGTCAAGCATCGGTCGGACATATAAATCATCTGATATCCTCGCGGAAATGCTGTGCCGTTGAGGTCGGCGCTGAAAACCGCTGCGGATTTCGTAGTCGTAAATCGGCGCGTCCTTTATATGAGGGAATCGAATATGGATTGCGGCTACCGTAATCGACGCGCACAATGAGCTGAGGAACGCGGATAGGCCGGTTCGAGCGCGAGATGTTAACAGCCCAAGTGATTGGATTTTATTGCGTCAGCTGCGCTTTGATTAAACCTTTTTCTCGCTGGTCGGCCTTCTTTCTTGCGATTGTCGTTGTTGTGCAGCCGAGTCGTCATTTTAATCGCCGAAAATAATGACGGAGGAGGAGAGAGGGGGGGGGTTGGTTTTTTTTTTTTTTTTTTTTTTTTTTTTTTTTTTAAGAAGCTATGGGACCCACTCGACGACCGCATCTTTTACGATAAATTTTGGCAAAGCCATGTCGCCGTGAGTGACGAATGATGCTTAAGGCTTCATTACCTTTTTTCGGGCTTCTCTACAACCGCGAGCCAATGTACACGAGGCCTTCACACGATAAAAGCTGTTGCGCATGCCGTAGCTCAAAGCGAATGCCATATTTCACGAATAACGCGCTCGAAATTTTTGCATTTTATATTTAGCTAAATGGCAAGTTTTGCAGCTCTTCAGCTCTTAAACGATTCCAATATCGCCAAAGTATTTGAGATTGGGCATTCAACAGGTTTCACGAAATGCCCTATAAAAAATTGCGGCGCTAAGCGATTACACGAAATGAAAAGAAAAACAAAGTGAAAACAGGAAGTGAAACACAACAAAGGAGCATTGACGTTGTGATAAGGTTTTGACAGACGCCTAATCTTAATCGTGCATTGGTAATATTAATGGCTTAAGCCATGAGCGCGCACCTTGGATTATACTAGAGATATTTTCATTCGACGAATGCTGCATCGTTAAATAGCTAATTACCATTCGTCGTTGTATAGCAACATTATACGGAAACGATGGGGATTTACCGTGAGCGGGTTCATTGAAATGTAGTCGCGTATACAATGGCCCGGCAATGTAATGCCAGAGCATCGACGATATAAATACGCGGCAGATCGATTCGATCGCGCAATTCCTTACGGGCAGAAAGGATGGCCGTAAGGAGGCCATCGCTAAGAAGAGAGTGTCGATGAAAAGCGCGAGGTAAACATCGTCCGGATAGACCGGGAGAGTGCGGTAGGACTGAGACCTCAGTGGGCGCGTAAAATTCGATGAGGCTCGCGGGCATCGCCGCCTCCGAGCTTCCGTTGCAAAACGTCCGGCATTAATTGAACGAAAGGGCCGCCGATGCAACGAATCGGACCACGAGAGCGTACTGAGGGCTGGGCTCGGACGAAAACAAGAGGTCAGGAAGGGTGTGGCCTTACGTGTCCCACGGGGCGTCGATTAGCGCCCGTTCGAGTTACCCATACCTGGGCAATTGATCGGCTCGGTCGCGCGCGCGCCACCCACCACCTGACCGCCCTTATCGAGCCCTTACGATAACCACGGGGATATTCGTAGACGATCTTTGGCTGCATCGCGGGTGACCCCGTGCTCGAGTATCGATTCGCCGTGAGGCGCACAGCTGCCTATCTTTTCTCTCGGGAGTAAGCGAGATGCGTCGAGCTTCCAAAGGGAGGGAGAGATGGAGACGACGGACGCCGTCGGAACGTAGGGTGTGTGTGTGTGAGAGAGAGAGAGAGAGAGAGAGAGAGAGGGAGCGGAGAGCAGAGAACAAATCAAAGATAGAGAGAGAGAGAGAGAGAGAGAGAGAGAGAGAGAGAGAGAGAGAGAGAAGAGCAGAGTGAGGGAGTGAGTATGAGCCGTGGATTCCGAAGGAGGCAGCACACCCTGGGCCGCACATCTTTTATATATAGCGCGGGAGCGACGCGGAGGCCACCGCGGGAGACTTAAATATAGACAAAGTGCAAGTGCCTCTCGACTACTACTCCTGCTGCTCCTCCTCCTCTGTCTTCACCATGCTGTGGCTGCCGCGCTTATATATTCGCTGTCAGGATGGCAAGCGACGAATAACTGTACAACGAAGGTTGGCTCGCATTCGTCTGCGTGCCTATGGAATTTCTCGCGGACGTTAATTGCGAGACAATCGCATCATGGCCGACGGCGGGTGCTTCTTCGCTGCTGTTTGCGAAATAAAAGTCAATCAACACGAGGGAGTCGCGGGCAGATAGTTGGCCAATCAGTGACTCAATCAGTAAGATGAATAAGTGGACAGGCATACACGAACGGACAGACGGACAGACGAACAGAGAGACATACAAACATTGAGACAGAGGGACAAATATAGTCAGGGACAAAGGGAGAAAGATAGGTTATTAATACGCGCCCTGAACTCGTTCCCCCCTGCGCAGGTGATGGAGGTGCGCACGGTAGCCAGTGGCGCGCATTCCTAGGGGCTGGTTTCTAAAGGACGGGGTGCGAGCTAATGGCTTACTTACTTGCCGAGCTCCTCCTTGAGGTCGTAGTTATCACTGAACCGCGTGCAGGCGACCGGGCTGGACATGCCGGAGCCGTAGTAGCGCGGCAGCGCGCTGTCCGGGGGTGGCGCACGCGGGGCTGCCGCCTCCTGGCTAGGCCCCGGGTGCCCGTCTTCCCGCGAGCGCTCGGGTGTAGCCGAGGGATGGGGGCAAGGGCCTCACTTACTCCGAAACGGCACGTCACCGGCGTATCGC